CTTCTGGGGGGGGTGCTGTGGGGGGTGAGGGGGGCGGGGAGGAAGGGGATGCTGGGGAGAATGGGGACGAGGAGGGGAGGGAGGAGCGGGAGGATCGGGAGTTGCAGGAGCTGCTGAGTATCGTGGATGGGCAGGCAGCTGAGCAGGCGAGAATGGAGGCGATGTATGGGTGGGGGTATGGGGGAGGGGGATATGGGGGAGGTGGGTATGGGGGAGGTGGGTATGGTGGGGGATATGGAGGAGGGGAGACAGGCTCGGGAGGTACACCTGGGCAGGTGCCATTTGCGGTGGGTGTTCCTGCGGCTAGGCTTGGGATTATTCGCACTCCTGAAGCTGCAGCTGCGGCTGCCGCGGCTGAGGCTGCGGCTTGGGAGTATGCTTCGGGCGGGGGTGCTGGGGGGATGAGGAAGAGGAAGAGGTTTGGGGTCGGGCCTGGTGACGTGGCGTTGCATAATAGGTCGAGATCTCACTTCTGGGATTTGATGGTAACGGAGATGGCTGGGAAGGGTGAAGGAGGAGGGGGGCAGGGTGGAGTGGAAGGGGGAGTGTGGAGTGGTGGAGAGGTGAAAGTAGAGGAGGGGATGGTTGGGATGGAAGTAGCAGAGGGTGATGTGAATCTCAGAGAGGGAGAGGCACTCACTGCTAGACAGGATGACACAGCTGCTCCTGTGGCTGACCCAGCAGCTGCTGACACCACTACCGCTGCTGCGCCTCCTGCTCTTGGTGCTGCTGCCACTGCTGCTTCTGCTGCCGGTGCTGCTGCTGATGCAAACTTCGCTGCTAATGATAGTGTGAAGGGCCCGGAACAGGCAGGGGCAGAAGGAGGCGAGAAACAAGAGGGTGTTGCTGCTGCTGAGGAGACAGGTGCAGCGCCTACCGCTGCTGGCGAAACTGGTGCAGCTCCTGTGGTCGATGCTGACGCTGCTTCCTCTGCTGTTGCCCCTTCTGGGGAGGAGGGTGCAGTTGCTGCTGATGCTGCTGCTGTCCCTGCTGGCTCTGCTGCTGCTGCTGCTGCTGCAAATGCTGCTGGTGGTAGCGGTGAAATGGAAGTTGGTGAGGGGGATGGGACGCTGGCAGGTGCGCGGGAGGAAGGCGAGAAGCAAGCAGAGGGCGGAGAGAAAGGTGTGGAGGGAGAGGTGAAGGCTGGGGACAAGGAAGCACCTGCCACTGCAGGGGATCCTGCTGCTGATAATGATGCGGCTCCTGCTGCTGGTAGTGGTGCTGCTGCTGCTTCTGCAGCTGACACTCCAGTTGCTGGTGATGATGGTCAATCTCAGCCTGCCAAGGCTGCTGAAACAGCAGCAGCAGCAGCAGCAGATGCGTCACAGAAATCGGCAGAGCAAACGCCCGTCCCAGGCAGTGCAACAGCAGCACCAGCTGCAACCCACTCAGTTCCAGGAGAGACGGCTGCTGCTCCTGATACTCAAGCAGAAGGCCATGCACCTTCTTCTCTTCCGCCACCTGCAGCAGGAACCACTGTAACGCCTGTAACACCTGCAACACCTGTAACACCCGTAACACCCGTAACACCAGTAAACCCAGCTCCGGCCGTACCACCAGCTTCGGCCGTAGCACCAGCTTCGGCTCCTGCACGAGCCTCAGCAGCAATGTATGCAGCATCAGGAGCAACCCCAGGACTACACCATGTAACTCCAGGGGTGGGTGCAATTGCTGCAGGAGGTCCTGAAGGTCACAGGTGGCAAGAGGGTTACAACCACAGCGGTTACAATCAGGGATACGGACCGTCACCGTACGGTCTCAACTCTGGCCCAGGGTATGGTCCAGGATATGGCACTCGGGGAAGGAGAGGAAGGGGAGGCGGTAGGGGGAGAGGGCGGGGAGGGAGGGGGGCAGGCAGGCGCGGAGGGAGCAGCAGCGCTGGTGTGGGGGGAATTGCGGGGAGTATTGGGGGGAGTAGAATGATGGGTCTGGCCGCGTCTGCTGGGTTGATTCCTAGCTGGGCTGCTGCAGCAGTGAAAGCTGTTGAGTCTCCCTTCGCTCCTCCCGCCCCTCCTCCCCCACCTGCCCCTCCTTCCCCTCCTGCCCCTGCCGCTGACGCTGCCCCTACCCCTGCTGCTGACACTGCCCCTACCCCTGCTGCTGACACTGCCCCTACCCCTGCTGCTGACACTGCCCCTACCCCTGCTGCTGACACTGCCCCTGCCCCTGCCCCTGATGCTGCTTCTGCTCCTGCTCCTACCCCTGACGCGGACGCTGCCTTTGCCCCTGCCCCTACCACTGCTGCTGACGCTGCCCCTGCCCCTGCCGCTGATGCTGATGCTGCCTCTGCCCTTACTCCTGCCGCTGATGCTGGCCCCGAGGCAGTACCAGCACCAGCGCCTGAGTCTGCTCCGGCTGTTGGTACTGCCGGTGCGACTGAAGGTGCCGCTGCTGTTGGCACTGCTGATGGTGCCGATGCAGCAGCAGCAGCTGCTGTTGTTGACGGTGCTGCTGATGGTGCAATGGATACAGACACATCTGCTATGGCTGACAACTTAGATGCTGCCTCTGCTCCTGATGCTTCTGCTCCTGATGCTTCTGCTGCTGATGCTTCTGCTGCTGGTGCCACTGCTGCTTCTGATGGTGCTGCTGATGGTGCGGCTGCTGCTGCTACTGTCACTGAAGCTGCGGCGGCAGCTCCCATGGATGCTGCTGTTGCTGATGCTACTGCGGTTCCAACAGATGATGCTGCTGCTGCTCCTGATGCTTCTGCACATCCCGAAAGTATGACTGTTGCTGTTGCTGTTGCTGATGCTGCTGATGCATCTGCAGCGCCTACTGACGTTGCTGTTGATGAATCTGCAGCAGCTCCTGCCAATGCTGCTACTGAAGCTGTCACTGCTCCTGCTGCTCCCGTTGATGCTCCTGCTGCTGCTGCGCCTGTTGATGCTATTGCTGCTGCTCCTGCTGCTGAGGCGGACACTGCACATGCCACAGACACTCCAATCGATCCACAGCATGTAGCTACAGATGTTACGCCCGTAGCTACAGATGTTACGCCCGTAGCTACAGATGTTACGCCCGTAGCTACAGATGTTACGCCCGTAGCTACAGATGTTACGCCCGTAGCTACAGATGTTACGCCCGTAGCTACAGATGTTACGCCCGTAGCTACAGATGTTACGCCCGTAGCTACAGATGTTACGCCCGTAGCTACAGATGTTACGCCCGTAGCTACAGATGTTACGCCTGTAGCTACAGATGTTACGCCTGTAGTGGATGCTTTGGTTGTTGATTCTAGAGATACAGACATGATGGACGTGGGCGGTGCAGCTGCAGATGCTGCTACAGCTAATGCTACAGGTGTGGCTACAGCTGATCCTGCTGGTGCTGTTACAGCTGAGCCCATGGAGGGTGTTGTGGTGAGTAGTGAAACTGCTCCGGATAGTGGTGGCCCTTCACCTGATGCTGCTGTTGCTGCTCCAGCTGATGCTGCCGGTGCTGCTTCTGCTGGTGCTGCTGCTGCCTCTTCACCTGATGCTTCTGGTGCTGCTTCTGCTGGTGCTACCGCTGCACATGAAGCTTCTGCTACTGCTGATGCTGCACCTGCTGCGACAGGTGACGTGTGTGTCATCGCCCCTGCTGCCACACACGCTCTCCCACAACCACACTCTCTGCCGGGCGCTGCTCCTCTCTTCACTGCATCGCTTCCCCTGGGTGTGGGCCTCACTGCAGTTGCACCACTGCACTCCTCCTCTGAGGCCTCCGCCTTCCACCCTGCTTTGGGGCAATCCCGAGTGCTGCCTGCTGCTGCTGCTCCCGCTCCTGCTGATTCTGCCGCTGCTGCTCCTGCTCCTGCTCCTGCTGCTGATTATCTTCCTCCTGTTGCTGCTGGTGATTCTCCTGATGCTGCCCCCGATGTTGCCCCCGATGCTGCTCCCGATGCTGCTCCCGATGCTGCTCCCGATGCTGCTCCTGAAGCTGCCCCAGGTGCTGCTCCCGAAGCTGCTCCCGAGGCTGCCCCCGATGCTGCTCCCAATGCTGCTCCCGATGCTGCTCCCGATGCTGCTCCCGATGCTGCTCCCGATGCTGCTCCCGACGCTACTCCTGATGCTGCAGCTGATCCCAAGGACGTTGCGGGTCAGCAAGAGCACGCAGTTTTTCCTGAAGCAGGTGCTGATACGGATGGTGTGGCTGCTGCTGATGATGCAGCAGGTGCTGATACGGCTGCTGCTGTGGCTACTGCTGCTGATGTCGCTGGAGCTAATGGTGCTGCTCCAGATGCTGCAGCTGACCTCAAGGGGGGGGTGGATCAGCAAGAGCTCAAAGCTGGCTCTGTGGAGCCCTTTGCTACAGCAGATGCTGATACGGCTGCTGCTGTATTTGCTGATGATGCAGCAGAAGCAGCACCGCTGCCACCACCACCTGCTGTTGTTTCTCATGATCCGGCTGTTGCGGACGATCCCTACGCCTTGGATAACCCTCCAAGGGCTGAGGAAGAGCCCATTGGTGCTGCTGCTCCGCCTGCCGCCGACCCTGAGGACGATCCATATGCGTTGGTGTAGTCGTGTTTCGAGACGCCTCAAAGCTTGCGTTGCGGGTTTTCAGGATCCGCCACCCACCTGTGTGCCTTTTCCGAGTTGTGTCTGGAGATGCTTGGATTGGAAAGTCTGTGTGTATGTCCTTGTGTGATAGGATGTGCTGTTAGGAGTGCTAACTCTTTATTGGTCTGTCGAAGTGCTAATACGGTACCCTCCACCCTACTCGCTTTACTCCCTCACACTTCGCTAACCCTTCTGCCCATCCCGCTGGCTATTTTTTCTTTGTTATGAAAAATAGTATTGAAAGGGTGCTAAAACTGTACCATCTCAGATCATTCACTCCCTCCTGCAGCAAGCTCAATTAACATAGTGCTGAATAATGAACTTTGCGATTTTGCCGACGAGTTATGGCAATCTAACAGGTAAGAATCCCCATAGTACGGTAATCCATACAACACATCCTTGAACAAAGTGAATGCGACTCAACATCGAACCCCCCACGACACATTAGAACAAACCTCAGACATCGAAGCTTGTCGACGATCCCATAGCCCCACTCCCCACCACCCCACTCGACCCCATAGCACCGCTCGACTCCGAAGCCCCTCCACCCCCTGAAGCCACCTCCTCCGCCCTCCGAATCTCCCTTGAAAAGCTCGGCCCGCGCCGATTCTCCAGGTCACTATCTATCCGCACCACCAGGGGGTCGGGGTCCGGGCCGAGGAATTCCTCTTTCATGGCGATGAGGTCGGAGAGAATGCGCGCCATGGAGGGGCGGGTGGCAACGGGCATGGCGGTGCAGGAGAGGGCGAAGCGTGTGAGCTTGAGGATCACGTCGCTGGGAGCGCCTAGACGCGGGTCCTTGATGGCCTGGGCGTTGTTCTCGGCGACTAATGGTTGAACCTGGGGGAGGGGAAAGAGAGGGTGGGAGGAAGGGAGAGAGGGAGGGAGGGAGGGAGGGGAGATGTGAACAGGTGAGGGATACAGGAAGCACCGGGTCGGAGAGAATGCGCGGCATGGAGGGGCGGGTGGCCACGGGCGTGGCGGTGCAGGAGAGGGCGAAGCGGGCGAGCTTGAGGATCACGTCATTGGGGAGCGTCCAGCCGCGGGTCCTTGATTGCCTGGGCATTGTTCTCGGCAACCAGGGGTTGCACCTGGTGGGGGGGGAAGGGAAGGGAGGGGGTGTACAGGCGGAGAGGAGAGATACGGTACCAGAAGCACAATTGGCATGGCATGGGCATGAGGAGCATGTCGCCGGGGGCATCGAAACGTGGATCCTTTGATGGCCTGGCAGTTGCGTGCGACGTCTACGAGCTGATCTTGAGAAGGGGGAGGGGGGGTAGGAGAAGAGATACGGTAAAAAAAAGGGCACCAGGGGTTGCACCTGTCCAGAGCATTGTTTTTGGCAACCAGGGGTTGCATCTGGTTGGCGTCAGAAGGGGGTGTACAGGTGGAGAGGTGCACCTAGCGGCATAGCATGTGCTTGATTATATGGCCTGCGCGTTGTATGCTCGAAATGTCCGTACAATATGAGCCTACTCATAACATTGAAGGAAGTAAGAAATTCACATGGTTCTGACATATGTCAACCCCCCCTCCCCCCCAAATCCACCATGATCCATCCATTTATCCTCCCGGTCCACTCACCCACCTGTTCACACGTGCACTTACCCATTGCTTGAGATTGATTTGACCTTCGTCCAAGCACTCTAGAGCTTTCCGGGCCGTAATCATTGTCAGCATCACCACTCCAAAACTGCAAACAAATATGGCAATAAACAAACACATATATGTTCATGAATGACGAAAAAAGATAGCCTTTTATAGCTTGAGGGAACTTTAAAGCGGGTGCTTCATCTTAAATCAATACTGCTGCAGTGCTTACTTGCACGTTTGACATTCCTTACCTGTGCACATCTGCCACATAGCCTGGTATTCCCATCACTTGCATCCTCACTCACCTGTGCACATCAGCCATAGGGGTGGCCTTCTGTGACTTGAAGTAAGCCGGGTCCACATAGCCTGGTGTTCCCATCACTCTCGTCGCAATCACAGTGGTTCCCTCTCCAAGCCTCACCAGACCAAAATCAGCCACCTTAGCCTGCATGACAAAGTGCATCAAGTACGGGAGGGCTTTTGAGACGTCTCAAAACTCTCCCAACCACACCAGACCAAAATCAGCCACCTTAGCCTGCATGACAAAGGGCAATACGTATGGGAGGAAATGTGAAACGATAGACGAACGGAACAAGTAATCTAGGTTGCTAGTGATTTGTGAATCATGAATAACCTAGGCGGCCTTAAGAATAAATAGCCTTGGGATTCACTTCACGATTATACGTAAACACAACTTCAATATTTGAGTTCCATCAACAATTCCCCCCTTCTGATCCTTCCATCACCCCTGATTTCTCCAAACTTTCAATCAATATGCTTATGTACAAGCGTTAGACCCATCTTCTACCCTCATTGTTCACCCCCAAGTTCCTACCTGCATCTTTTTGTCGAGCAAAATGTTGGCGGGTTTGATGTCGCGGTGAACAATGTGGAAGCTGTGGAGGTACTGCAGGCCCTGAGCCACCCCGATGAGCACGTCAAAACGCTGCCGCAGTGTCAGAGGAGTAGGCACACCTGGTGGTGGTGGTAGGAAAAGGATACCAATATTAAAGTGACTAGCCTATGTATGCATGTTAATGCCGGAAGCCTAACACAACAAGAAGCAGACAAAAAAAAAAAAAAAAAACAGGCATGCACTTTCCTGATCGAGTGCGTTTCAGTTTTGCGATTATGCATTATCTCCCAGGTAAGAATATCCCAAAATTGCATCCAACCACCTCAATCGTTAAACCCGCAATATTCGTACCAACGCACCCACCTGGTCCAATCCATTGCTCAAGGTCCCCATTCTCCATAAACTCGTAGATGACAATCTGCTCCGTGCGTTCTGCTGCCACGTCCACGTCAATGCAGTATCCCAGCAGCCGCACGAGGTTGGGGTGGTGCTTCGTGGCCATCTCATTCACCTGGTGAAGGAGAAGGGAGTGGTAAAGAAGGGCGAGATTGTTACTTCATGGGCATGAAAGTGGACCAAGAAAGCAAGCATTTATAATGTACATTTTCTATACATGTACCAATAAACTTGCATATATTTACACATCGTATACATGTACATTCACATCTACCCCCACATGAATGTATACGAAAACATAAAAACATATGTAGGCCACATGAAGCCACGAAGCACCACGACTAAGCACCTACGACTCTTTCACACCGCTGCATACCACACGCACTCCGCATGCACGCCACACACCACTTTTTGAGGCGACTCGAAAGTCACACGCACTCCTCCTTTCCGCATGCACACCACACACCTCTTTCGAGGCGCCTAAAAAATCACATGCACTCCTCCTGCGCATGCACACCGCACACTTCTCTCCGAAAGTCGTGACTTTTGAGTCGACTCAAAAGTCACCACACACTTCTGAGTCGACTCAAAAGTCACCACACACTTCTGAGTCGACTCAAAAGTCACCACACACTTCTGAGTCGACTCAAAAATCACATGCACTCCTCCTCCGCATGCACACCGCACACTTCTCTCCGAAAGTCGTTCGTGAGCACCTTTGCTCACGTCACAGCCCACAGCACAGAAGCGTCATGAGATGACACGCCCTTGAACACGTCCCCAAAGCTGCTGCCGCCAATCCATTGATAACATGCACACTACCTGGGTGGTACACCACATTGCACTTCTCCGCACCACACCGCACCGCACCACGCCATGCACCTCTCTTTGGAAGTCGTTAGTGAGCACCCTCGCTCGCTTCACAGCCCACACCACCGATGGGTCGTAAGGCGACACTCCCTTAAACACATCCCCACCTCTGCCTGTCCATTGAACACTAGCAAGTTGCTACACTGCACCGCACCATCACACCAAACCACACCACACCACACCACACCCCACTGCACCACGCCTCGCACCTCTCTTCGGAAGTCATTAGTGAGCACCCTCGCTCGCTTCACAGCCCACACCACTGATGGGTCGTAAGGCGACACTCCCTTAAACACATCCCCAAAGCTGCCGCTGCCAATCCTGTTCGCCTCCGCCCATTCACCAGTGGCCCGCGCCACGTCAGCGAGTGAGTACTGCTGACACAGCAACGGCCCGTGCGTCATTCGACCGCTCATCCCGACGCTGCCTCCTGATGGCACGACTGCAGCTGCGGCCGCTGCAGCGGCTGCTTCAGCTGCTGATACTGGGAGTGGTGGGAATGGGTCAAGAGTGGAAGTGAAGTGGGGAGAAATTGAACAGATTAGGGGCCGATTGAGTAAGGAGCATGTTTTTGAGTCGACTCAGAAACAGACTCATCACACAGTGATTGAACCGATTGGCGGCTGGCTGGGTAAGGAATTGCAGCGGGCCCGTACGTGTGTCATCACACAACTCCCCGATCGACTTTTGAGGCCAAATAAAAGGAATTCTCCAAGTTCCAACCACTTTGCTTCTCCCAGCCAGCCCCATTTCGGATTCATCAGCTCTTTGCAACTTTTTCCTTGAACTCAACTCACCAGCTACGTGATAAAAGTTGTATTTTGAGACGTCTCAACACACCAGCTCTTTGCAACTCTTTCCTTGAACTCAACTCACCAGCTCCCTGTGTTGGCGCCTCCTGTGCCCCGCCTGCTGCTCCTCCTGCTCCATCCTTGCTCCTCTTCTGATACAAGCACACCACTAGAAGCACACCCGCCACTCCCAGAATCACAACCCCCGCCCCCACTGCTATCCCCACCACCACCCCCATCGACACCCCTCCCCCCTCCCCTGACGCTGGGGGCGGGGGAGATTGGGGGGAAGGAGGAGGGGGGGCGTTCCCCCCTTGGGAGAAAGGGGGAGAAAATCCTCCACTTCCAGAGGGAGGGGAGGGGGTGGAAGGGGAAGGGGGGGCGGCGGAAGGGGGAAGGGAAGGGCTAAGAGAGGGGGGGGAGGGGGGGGCTGCGTCATTGGTGGGGGAAGGGGCGGGACTGGGGGAAGGTGCAGTGCTAGGGGGGAGAGTGGGGCTAATAGCACGGGGAGGAGGTGGGGAGGGAAGAGAAGGGGGAGGAGAAGAGGGGGGAGGGGAGAGTTTGGGCTTCGGGGGGGGAGAGAGTTTAGGCTTTGGGGGAGGGGAGAGTTGGGGCTTAGGGGGAGGGGAGAGTTTAGGCTTGGGGGGAGGGGAAGGGGGAGGCGGAGGAGGAGAGGAGGGAGGAGGAGGGGGAGGATACACGGGAGGTTCGGCAGGGGGAGGGGCAGGAGGTGGGGCGGATGGAGGAGGAGGAGAGGGGAGTGGAGGAGGGGGGGAATCGACTACAGGCGGTGGGATAGGGGGTTCTACTGGAGGAGGTGCTGGTAGGGAGAGTAGGGGAAAGAGAAGATGTTTGCACATGCACATGCACATGCGCGCACGCACGCACATGCACACACACACACACACACGCGCGCGCGCGTGCACACACATGCACATACACACACACACACGCACACACACACACACACACACACACACACGCACATGCAAGTGCACACAAGCAGGTCAGAACCAACAAAAGAGTTGCAAGCTTAATCTGGAAAGGAGCTACAACCAGTTGCTACAGCCACCAGCCAGCTGCTACAGCCACCAGCCAGCTGCTACAGCCACCAGCCAGCTGCTACAGCCACCAGCCAGCTGCTACAGCCACCAGCCAGCTGCTACAGCCACCAGCCAGCTGCTACAGCCACCAGCCAGCTGCTACAGCCACCAGCCAGCTGCTACAGCCACCAGCCAGTTGCTACAGCCACCAGCCAGCTGCTACAGCCACCAGCCAGCTGCTACAGCCACCAGCCAGCTGCTACAGCCACCAGCCAGCTGCTACAGCCACCAGCCAGCTGCTACAGCCACCAGCCAGCTGCTACAGCCACCAGCCAGCTGCTACAGCCACCAGCCAGTTGCTACAGCCACCAGCCAGCTGCTACAGCCACCAGCCAGCTGCTACAGCCACCAGCCAGCTGCTACAGCCACCAGCCAGCTGCTACAGCCACCAGCCAGCTGCTACAGCCACCAGCCAGCTGCTACAGCCACCAGCCAGCTGCTACAGCCACCAGCCAGTTGCTACAGCCACCAGCCAGCTGCTACAGCCACCAGCCAGTTGCTACAGCCACCAGCCAGCTGCTACCTGCTTACCTGCTGCAGCTGTCTGTTGGCACCTGCAGAGGAGCAGGAGAGGCAGAATCCAGAGCAGTCGGTGCAGAGGACGGTTGTGTTGATGGGCGTGACGGTGCATGAGCCACGTGGCGGGCACGACCACAGGTTGAGGTCGTAGTCACTGTTTCAGCACGAAGATGGGAGGAAGGAAGGGGAGTATTGGAGGCCATGGGTGGTGCATGAGTGTATGGTTGTATGGGTAGGACCACAGGTTCAGGTCATTGTCGCTGGGTGGATGGGCGCATGGGAGGGAACGGGTGGATTGGAGGGCAGGGGGGGCATAGGTTGATGGGTGTGACGGTGCGTGCATGAGCCGCGTGCCAGGCAGGACCACAGGTTCAAGTTGAGGTCGCTGGGTGGATGGGCGCACAGGGATGCAAGAGTGCATGGGTAGTGCGCATGGGTGCATGGGCGTGACTTTGCATGAGCTGCGTGCCGGGCACGACCACAGGTTCAGGTCGTAGTCACTGGGTGGATGGGAGCACAGGGGTGTGTCAGAGGGGATGGGTGCATGAGTGTATGGTTGTATTGGTGTGATGGTGCATGAGCCGCGTGCCGGGCACGACCACAGGTTCAGGTCGTAGTCACTGTTTAGATTGGAGGGCAATGGCGGGTTGCAGGGCAGGGAGCACAGAGATGGATTGCACGGGTTGATGGGTGTGTGGTTGCATGGATGGATGGGTGCATGGGTGCACGGGTTGCATGGGTGCAGGGGCGCTCACAATGTTGCAAGGCTTTCCATGGTGACTGGGGGAGGTATCCCTGTATGTCTGAGCTGACTAAAAAGTGGGTGCATGGTTGCATCGGCAGGTATGCATCGATGCATGAATGAAGGGACGCTCACAATGTTGCGAGGCTTTCCATGGTGACTGGGGGAGGTATCCCTGCATTTCTGAGTTGACTCAACTTTGGATGCACGGGTGCATGGGCGCATGGCAGCATGGGTACATGGAAGCATGGGTACATGGCAGCATGGGTTCATGGCAGCATGGGCGCATGGCAGCATGGGTACATGGCAGCATGGGCGCATGGCAGCATGGGTACATGGCAGCATGGGTACATGGCAGCATGGGCGCATGGCAGCATGGGTACATGGCAGCATGGGTACATGGCAGCATGGGCGCATGGCAGCATGGGTACATGGCAGCATGGGCGCATGGCAGCATGGGTACATGGCAGCATGGGTACATGGCAGCATGGGTACATGGCAGCATGGGCGCATGGCAGCATGGGTACATGGCAGCATGGGCGCATGGCAGCATGGGTACATGGCAGCATGGGTACATGGCAGCATGGGTACATGGCAGCATGGGTACATGGCAGCATGGGTACATGGCAGCATGGGTACATGGCAGCATGGGTACATGGCAGCATGGGTTGCTCACAATGTGGCAAGGATTTCCATGGTGGCCATGGACTGGGGGAGGTATCCCTGCATTTCGTTTTGCGAGATGTTGCTGCTCGTACAATGAGAACGGGGGAGGAGAGGGGAGTGTAGGGGTGGGGAGGGGAGGGGAGGGGAGGGGAGGGGAGTGGAGGGGAGGGGAGGGGAGGGGAGGGGAGGGGAGTTGAGGAAAGGGGAGTGGAGGGGTGGGAAAGAGGAGAGTGAGGGATGCATGGGCGGCACATGACACAGTATCACTGCATATCGCTGTGCGAGATGTACCCAGGCGCGCAGGCGCTTGATTGAAAAACCCACATGTGGGTGAGCTTTCTGCACTGCAGATATCACTGTAGGGTGAAAACTCTCTGAAAATATTTATTAGGACTACTAGTTTCATTCATATTATTGATGTTATCAATAGAATTAATATTATTAATATTAACAATTATTGTTATTATTAAGAGCAAACCACTGACAGGTAAGTGAGCTGTTGTAAGTTCCCAATGTCGGCCGGCAACTCCCCTGTGATCCGGTTGTTGCCGAAATCTCTGGACGGGCATGAGACAAACAGAGCGGAATGATTTCCGGGAAGAGTGCCCAACGAAGAAGAGAGGAGCGAAACGAGCCGGGTGAGAAATGAGACAATGGGATCGTTCAGGGGGGTTGGGCGTTTAGGGAGGATAGTAGCTTCGCTATGAGGAGAGGAGGGGCGAGAGGAGTGGAGAGGAGAGGAGAGTAGACTTGAAAAGAGTTCACTGTAGGTATTTCACTAGCTTTAGATCTTGCATGCTATTTGTTTGATAAGTCGCACGAGCATAACGGCATGGAGCTGCAGCAATGCTTTTGAGCTGCAACAAGTCTCCCAAGACTGACGCAAGCATTGTTGCAGCTCTCCCACTCCCCATGCTTCACCTCAGTAACGCACACACGTTTACCGCCCCACAAGCCCAGCAAGACTGAAGCACACTCGCACGAGCGTGAGCCATGCTTGCTGGCTTTTCGAGGTTAAGAGGGTGATTGTTGAGTTGCTTTTGAGGCGCCCCAAAAGCCAGCAAGCCTGATTGCATTCGGGATGTCAAACTCCAGAATGTGTGATCATTCGGGATGTCAAACTCCAGAATGTGTGATCATTCGGGATGTCACTCCAGAATGTGTGATCATTCGGGCCACTCACACATGTGTGAGCTCGGTCAAGAGGGTGATTGCATTCGGGATGTCGAATTCCAGAATGTTGTTCTGTAAGTAGCTGGTGGGGGAAGGGAAGGGAAGGAAAGGGGGGAAGGAGAAAAAGAGGGTGTTTTGCATCGACTCAGAAAGCGATTGAATCCAGGATGTGGAATTTCAGGATGTTGATCTGCAGGCAGCTGGTGTGGGAGGGAGAGGGGGAGGAGAAGGGCGGGGGTAGTTTGAGTTGAGTAGACTTCAAAGGCGTATTGGAGTCGATGTAGGAAAAGTAGGGGAATGAAGGGGAAGGTGATTAATTATAGATAAAGTATAGACAGAGCTCGCTATGGTGGGTCAGACTGTCAGAGATCTACTTTATCATGTGGTAATTGTAGCACCAACCAAACTCATAATGCGTTCGACGCCTTAAGCTTATACTACTAACTAAATGGGTATCTATAAGAAGAAGAAAATAAAGCGGGACCACGCTACGCTGTGCTCACATTGCTTTCATGGCTGTCGAGGCGATCCCGGTGGTTTGCTGTACAGGTGACGCTGTGGAGGAGAACGGCAGCGGCCCCGATAGCTTGTTGTCGGATGATCCCCTGTTGTTGGAAGGTTGATTCAATGGATGGATGAATGCAATGCAATGCAAGCACCGCTCATCCCTGTTATAGGCAGATTCGATACACAGGTATCTGTTCTGCTATAAAGAAGTGCCATTCGTTGTAGAATGGCAGCGGCCCTGATAGCTTGTTGTCAGATGATCCCCTGAGGTTGAAAGGTTCATTGGATGGATGCGATGCAATGCAATGCAAGACAGCACCCCTTTATCCCCGTTATAAGGCGACTCTACTGGTGCTGCTGGTTCGACCCAGCACACCACCACGTGACAGTTTTTATCTGCAGTGCTCACTCAGCAGCCGCGACAGGTTCGGAGAAGTGGTAACAAGCGGTGAGAAGTGGTACAAAGTGGTTGGAAGTGGTGAAGTGGGCGTAGAAGCGCTGCAAAGTGTCTGAAACAGGCAAACACCCCCGAACTTTTTGAGCTAATGTGCCAGAAATCACCCAGAAATAAATTTGTAAGCAGCGAGATCAATGCTCGTTGAAGGATTGAAAATACCATATTTCTAGGTTTGGAAGGACGCTGATCATAGGGAGCTCCCCTGTGAGCTGGTTGGCAAAGAGAGAACTGTGAGAGTGGCACAAGAGGCACAGCACCAAAGACACACGCGGGATGAAAATTCCCTTGTTGAGAAATATGAAAATTCCGGCTCCAACAAGTTTAACTGGTTTGACTTTGTTTGACCAATTTGACTGGTTTGACTCACACGTCTCTCAGGGCAGCCATACCGCTCATGGTCGCAGGTAAGCTGCCCGTGGGGTGAGGCTGTCGCACTCGTTTGACTGGTTGGACTTTGTTTGACCAATTTGATTGATTCGACTCACACGTCTCTCAAGGCAACCATATCGCTCATTGTCGCTGGTAGGCTACCCGTGAGGCTGTTGCAGCACATGGAACTGATGGGCGGCGAGGGGATGGGGGGGGGGCATAGACAGACAGACAGTGAAAGGGAGCAGGGGAATTGAAAGGTTAAGGAGAGGACTGAGGATGTTGCAACACATGGAGCTGGTGGGCGGCGAGGGGATTGGGGGTGTGGGGATAGGGGGCGCGGGGAGCAGAAAAATGGGGGAAGAGGGATGGGGGAAGAGGGATGGGGGAAGAGGGATGGGGGAAGAGGGATGGGGGAAGAGGGATGGGGGAAGAGGGATGGGGGAAGAGGAGAGATGTTTTTTCATGCTGCTGCGACAACACATGGGGTTAATAGACAGTGAGGGGGCGAGGGGGCATGTGGAGCAGGGCATGCAACCCTTTTCTAGCAAGTGCAAACCGCACAAAGCACTCACAACCAGGTGAGGGCAGTGAGCTGGCCTTGGAGTCGATTCAAAAGGTGAATTTGAGTCCACTCAAAAGCCGCTAGGTATCAGCACTCACAACCAGGTGAGGGCAGTGAGCTGGCCTTGGAGTCGATTCAAAAGGTGACTTTGAGTCCACTCAAAAGCCGCTAGGTATCAGCACTCACAACCAGGTGAGGGCAGTGAGCTGGCCTTGGAGTCGATTCAAAAGGTGACTTTGAGTCCACTCAAAAGCCGCTAGGTATCAGCACTCACAACCAGGTGAGTGCAGTGAGCTGGCCGATGGTGGATGGGATGGAGCCTGTGATGTTGTTTGAATCCAAGTCACTGGGTAGGGGAAGGGGAGAAATTTGGGAGAAAAGGAATACAAGTTGGGGGGAATAAAAGTATAGACCACGATGGAGACAGGGGGGATGGTGATGGGGGGGGAACGGGTACGGTACGGAGGGATGGGGGAAAGAAGATGGGAGAGAAGGAGAATGGTTTCCCATAAACACATTCTGTCGCCAGTGGCATGTCACCAGCATTCCCATACAACAGTTATCAGCAGCAGCAGCAGCAGCAGCAGCAGCAGCAGCAGCAGCAAGCAAAAAGTGTCAACTGACTCACAGGTAAGAGAGATCCACTAGGTCACTGAGGTGCAGTATGCAGCCAGCAGCAGTGACTCACAGGTGAGAGAGATCCACTAGGTCACTGAGGTGCAGTATGCAGCCAGCAGCAGTGACTCACAGGTGAGAGAGATCCACTAGGTCACTGAGGTGCAGTATGCAGCCAGCAGCAGTGACTCACAGGTGAGAGAGATCCACTAGGTCACTGAGGTGCAGTATGCAGCCAGCAGCAGTGACTCACAGGTGAGAGAGATCCACTAGGTCACTGAGGTGCAGTATGCAGCCAGCAGCAGTGACTCACAGGTGAGAGAGATCCACTAGGTCACTGAGGTGCAGTATGCAGCCAGCAGCAGTGACTCACAGGTGAGAGAGATCCACTAGGTCACTGAGGTGCAGTATGCAGCCAGCAGCAGTGACTCACAGGTGAGAGAGATCCACTAGGTCACTGAGGTGCAGTATGCAGCCAGCAGCAGTGACTCACAGGTGAGAGAGATCCACTAGGTCACTGAGGTGCAGTATGCAGCCAGCAGCAGTGACTCACAGGTGAGAGAGATCCACTAGGTCACTGAGGTGCAGTATGCAGCCAGCAGCAGTGACTCACAGGTGAGAGAGATCCACTAGGTCACTGAGGTGCAGTATGCAGCCAGCAGCAGTGACTCACAGGTGAGAGAGATCCACTAGGTCACTGAGGTGCAGTATGCAGCCAGCAGCAGTGACTCACAGGTGAGAGAGATCCACTAGGTCACTGAGGTGCAGTATGCAGCCAGCAGCAGTGACTCACAGGTAAGAGAGATCCACTAGGTCACCGATAGTAGGGGGAAGAGGCCCTCCCAGATTCTGTCCTGTCACCTCTCTGACGCGATGGCCGTATGGGGGGTGGGAGTGGGGTGGTGAGGATGGAAGTAAGTATGGGTCCGCGTATTGGCAGCAGGAGCATATGGGCAGCAGGAGGTGCGGTGCGGTGTGGTGAGGTGAGGTGAGGTAAGGTGCGGTGAGATGCGGTGAGGTGAGGTTGTTGGTGGGTGGTGGGCATTGATTGGTGCTGACTGTCAACACAACGGGGGCTGTGTAGTCACTTGGGTGGGGTGGTGGGGATGGGGCGGACGGGGGGGATGAGGCAAGTGGGGCAAGGGGCAGTGCCTGCACACTCACTGACACACACACTGACACACTCACTGACACACACACTGACACACTCACTGACACACTCACTGACACACTCACTGACACACTCACTGACACACTCACTGACACACACACTGACACACAAAGGCAACTTTTGAGTCGACTTACAAGTCACCAAGTGGGGCAAGGGGCAGTGCCTGCACACTCACTGACACACACAGGCAATGGCTTTGTCCTCTGGGATCCTGAATATGTGTGTGTGTGTGTGTGCGTGTGTGCATGTGCGTGCGTGCGTGCGTGCGTGCGTGCGTGCGTGCGTGCGTGCGTGCGTGCGTGCGTGTGTGTGTGTGTGTGTGTGTGTGTGTGTGTGTGTGTGTGTGTGTGTGTGTGTGTGTGCGTACATGTGTGTGCGTGTGAGAGTGGGTGGGCGGGTGTGCCTGTGTGTGTGTATGTGCACACAACCATATGCACATGCGCATGTGGGCGACGTGTGCGCATGTGTGTTGTGCTTGATGCATGTGTATGTATCCACGTCATCATCACGTACATCCATGTCACCAACACGTACATCCACGTCACCATGCCCTTAGCATTGCATGATATGCCCGTCACCAGTCCCCGTTGGTGTCCCATTGGTCGAAAGTCACCCCCCATGACGTCTGCATGTCCCATAATGCTTGCACTGACGTCAGCATGACGTGGACGTGCCAAGTTCATGACGTGGCATGTGGAGAGGGGGCGGTGGGAGGGAAGGGAGGGAGAAAGATATGCCATGTGAAAGGGAGAAGAGTTGTGGGGGTGGGGATGGGGGATGGGAAAAGTATGGGGAAAGATGGGAGGAGGTGGAGGATTGGGGAGCGGAAGGGTAGGGGGATGAGGGGAAGAGGGGGGATGGGGTTTTCCAGTATCGGAATGGAGGCGAAAGCGCGTGCATGCCATCATATTCCGCCACGTGTCCACGCCATGCCACGTGCACGTCGTGCCACGTGTCCACGCCATGCCACGTGGCGTCCACTTGGCACTCACATTGGCTGCTGTCAATCGTTTGTCCCAGCACGTGCGTCACCAACGGAGCGGAAAATACGCTCCATGACGTCAGCACGGTAACAAGCAGTGTCGCGGACATGCCGCGACTCGGCCTCATGATCTCAGAGCGGCTGGTTGTAGCGCGAATGTCGCGTGACGGAGCTGTTGCGCGAGTGGAGCGGCGCGTGGGGGTTGTAGCAAGCGGCGAGTTGTAGCGTGGTGGGTTTGTAGCGCGAATGGCGAATGGCTGGTTGTGGCGCGAGTCGCACCGCGGCGCGGGGGGGGTTGTAGCGCGAGTTGCGGGCTCTAGCGCGACCCTCTTGGCCGGCAGCGTGGAATATGGCGGATGCAGCGACGTGTTAAGCGGCGGGGTGTTTTGCATGGGCTGCGGCGGATGTAGCGTGAAATGCGGCGGGATGCACGGCCCGTGTGGAATGCGGTGCGGCGGATTGTCGTACGGAATGCGACGAAATGCCGCGGCTGCGGCGATTTCTCGAAAGGGCTGCGGCTAAACGTAGCACCTTGCGAAGGACAGCGAAACCTTCGTCACGGGAAATGCTGGAGTGGAACAAGCGCCGCCGACTCGCCGACAACCAAGAAAGAATCCAACCCGCCGGTTGCTTGTGTATGATCCACCTGTGGTGGGTAGATTTACGGCGAGGGGAAAGGGTAAGCGGGAAGGAAGAAGGCGGAGAGGGAATAGTGGGGTGACGGGAAACGGGGAACGGGCAAAGGGAATTGGGAGCGGGAAAGGGGGAAAGAAAATGAACGCGGGGAGATTGCGGGGGAACCAAGCTGGGGCTCGGCGAAACACTGCGTGCCAGCTTTCCACCCAAGCGTGGAAAACTCCGAGCTCTCTGGGGAGGAATCTCTCGGTGGCCAATCCGAATTATCAGCCACGGTGACAACACGTGTTACCGCCAGCAAGGCTTGTCGTCATGACTTCGTTGACTAGCCAGGATCCGAGCTGTGTGGAAGGCTGTAACATATTTAACTCTAATATATACTTAGCATTGAAAGTATCCATAAATCGATAATATGTATTAAAAAGAAGCCCATGGCCAGGTCACATAAGGAGCCCTCAGACTCCTCGTCTCAGTGTCAATTATTGGTTCCGTTTGGATTTCAATGAGGCCCAACAACTTCGCAACTATATTCCATAAACACATACGGACCGTACATATCAATTGAAGCTGCCATTTGATGCGATTCTACTCCAATCGAATCCATGCACCTTCATGCTATAGAGTCAACCCGCCCACCCGTACCAGGAGATGCTCACGCCTCCTCAGTGCTAACACCCCCTCTTAAAGTAACACCGTACACCATACACCGGCACTCATACACCGCTATCAGAGGAATCCATCTCCCCAATTGACACCATCCCAATGCTCAAACCCGACACCCCTTCACGCTCCGACGCCACCTCATGCGCCCGCCGAATCTCCTGCGAGAAGTTCGACGCCTTGCGATCCGCCAAGTCACTATCGATATTCACCAGCACAGGATCCACGTCAGCACCGAGGAACTCCTCTTTCATGGCGATGAGGTCGGAGAGAATGCGAGCCATGGAGGGGCGGGTGGCCACGGGCGTGGCGGTGCAGGAGAGGGCGAAGCGGGCGAGCTTGAGGATCACGTCGTTGGGAGCGTCCAGACGCGGGTCCTTGATGGTATCTGCATCCCCGGCCTCCAACAATGGCTCCACCTGGAGGAGGGAAAGGGCGTGAATGGAATGATGCAAGTGAAAATAGTCATAGTAGCAATTGTGGTGATAATATTGCTATCATGATAAGTATGATGGTGATTGTAGTAAATAAACATGTAACGACGACGAAGACAACGACAACAACAACATCGCCTTCTCTCCATCAAGTATCAACTCACCCATTTCTTGAGGTTGACTTGGTTGTCGTCCAGAGAGTCCAGAGCCTTGCGGGCAGTAATGACTGTCAGCATCACCACTCCGAAGCTGGAGGGGGCGGTGGGGGAGGGGGCACGGGGCACAACAACATGGGATTGCCTATCACATGTGACTGCCTTGCACGCAGCCCAGTGCCTTGCAGGCAGTGTAGTGATCCGATCACCGTCCCCAAAACCACTCCACTGGCTAGTACCACTCCAAACCCTCGCGCACCCGCGTTCTCACCTGTGCACGTCTGCTGCTGGAGTGGCCTTCTGCGACTTGAAGTAAGCGGGATCCACATAGCCTGGTGTTCCCATCACCCGCGTATGACCCACTGCAGTGCCCTCGCCCATCCTCACCAGCCCAAAGTCAGCTATCTTGGCCTGAGGAAAGGGGAGATGGGAGACAAGGGAAGGGAGAGGGAGACAGACTCGTAACGTGAAACCAGAAGGAACTGCAAATCATATATATATGTATATATGTATATATATATATAAATATATATTCTAAGGTTCTACTGATTCATTTAACAACTCACCTGCATCTTCTTGTCGAGAAGGATGTTTGCGGGTTTGATGTCTCGGTGAATGATGTTGAACCTGTGGAGGTACTGCAGGCCTTGAGCCACCCACCCCAATATTCCACTCTCATCGTTCACCCCCAAGTTCCTACCTGCATCTTCTTGTCGAGCAGGATGTTAGCAGGCTTAATATCGCGGTGAACAATATTGAAGCTGTGGAGGTACTGCAGGCCCTGAGCCACCCCGATGAGCACGTCAAAACGTTGCCGCAAGGTCAGCGGCTCCTCAACACCTGGTCCAATCCACCGCTCGAGGTCTCCGTTATCCATAAACTCGTAGATGAGTATTTGCTCCGTGCTCTCAGCTGCCTTGTCCACGTCGATGCAGTAACCCAGCAGACGGACGAGGTTGGGGTGGTGCTTTGAAGCCATCTCGTTGATCTGTGGTGGGGAAAAGAAGGAAGTAGGGCGAGAGGGGGAAAGGTGGGTGGGAGAGAGAGGGGAGGACAGTGCTTACCAGAGCACACCACTGAACACCACACACCACACCACACCACACCGCGCACCTCGCGGCAGAAGTCACTAGTGATCACGGTGGCTTGCTTCACAGCCCAGCCCACACCACCAATAAGTCATAAGGCGACATTCCCTTGAACACATCCCCGAACCCGCCACTGCCTATCCATTGAGACCATGCACACTAGCTCGGTGGTACACTGCACCACACCGCACCACACCACACCACACCGTATTGCTCCCCACCACATCACGCACCTCCCGACGGAAGTCACTAGTGATCACAGTAGCTCGCTTCACAGCCCACACCACCGATGGGTCGTGCGGCGACACGCCCTTGTAGACGTCTCCGAAACCGCCGCTGCCAATCCGGTTGGCCTCGGCCCAGTTGTTGGTCGCCCGCTGCACGTCCGCCAAGGAATAACGCTGGCACTGCCCGCCCCCTGATATCCCCGCCGCTGCTGCTGCTTGGAGGAGGGGAGGTGGGTTGCCGGGTGGGGAAGGGTATCATTAATCGCCGCAGGATTGATCGCCGCATGATATGACAACACATGATATGACACACGCCAGCCATGATATGCACGCTGCTGCTGCCGCTGAATAGGGGGTGAGAAGGGGGGATGGGGACAAGCGTAGCAGTAATCATTGAGAGCGGCCACTCTGATCTTATGTGTTTCAAAATATCCCCTCACCTTCCTCTCTGCCCCACCTTGTCTCACCTTCCTCTCTGCCCCACCTTGTCTCAACTTCCTCTCTGCCCCACCTTGTCTCACCTTCCTCTCTGCCCCACCTTGTCTCAACTTCCTCTCTGCCTCACCTTGTCCCACCTTCCTCTCTGCCTCACCTTGATTAGCTGCTTCTCTTGCTTTGCTTCGCCTCCGATACAAGTACACCGCTACAAGCACCACTCCCAGCAACAGCACCACTGCTCCCACTACCACCCCCACCACCACCCCTGTCGACACCCCCCCTCCCCCCTCCGCGGACGGGGGGGAAGGGGAAGGGGCAGGAGGCGAGGGGGAGGAAGGAGGGGCGGGGGGGGGGCTAACTGGGGCTGGACTGGAGGGTGGCGCTGGTGGAGGGAAGCAAAGGTGGCGGGCAGGGGTGGAGGGAGAGGTGGGGGAAGAGGTGAGGGGATGATGTACTTAAAAAACCTTGAGCTAATAGATCACTTCAGGCTCAAGTTCTTACAGTTACCTGCTACAGTGCTGCTACCACTTATGGTGCTGCCATTACCAGGCGTGGTGCTGCCATTACCAGGCGTGGTGCTGCCATTACCAGGCGTGGTGCTGCTATTACCAATGGTGGCGCTGCAGGAGGAGCAGAAGGCGGAGCAGTCAGAGCAGAAGAGTGTGGTGTTGACAGCGACCACGGTGCAGGGCCCTGTGGGGCACGACATGAGCAGCCCATCATACCGCCTGTGGAAGGGGAGGTGGGGTGATGGTGATAGCATGAGGTGATGTGCTAGCACGAACACATGATATGACAACACATGATATGACAACACATGATATGACAACACATGATATGACAACACATGATATGACAACACATGATATGACAACACATGATATGACAACACATGATATGACAACACATGATATGACAACACATGATATGACAACACATGATATGACAACACATGATATGACAACACATGATATGACAACACATGATATGACAACACATGATATGACAACACATGATATGACAACACATGATATGACAACACATGATATGACAACACATGATATGACAACACATGATATGACAACACATGATATGACAACTCATGATATGACAACTCATGATATGACAACTCATGATATGACAACACATGATATGACAACACATGATATGACAACACATGATATGACAACACATGATATGACAACACATGATATGACAACACATGATATGACAACACATGATATGACAACACATGATATGACAACACATGATATGACAACTCATGATATGACAACTCATGATATGACAACTCATGATATGACAACACATGATATGACAACACATGATATGACAACACATGATATGACAACACATGATATGACAACACATGATATGACAACACATGATATGACAACACATGATATGACAACACATGATATGACAACACATGATATGACAACACATGATATGACAACACATGATATGACAACACATGATATGATGACAACACATGATATGACAACACATGATATGACAACACATGATATGACAACACATGATATGACAACACATGATATGACAACACATGATATGACAACACATGATATGACAACACATGATATGACAACACATGATATGACAACACATGATATGACGTGGGCTGCTGCAAGGGGCGCTTAGGAGCGGAGGATAACAGGTTGACAGGGTAGCGAGAGAGGGCGAAAGGCAGGGGCGTGTAGTGGAATACAGGACCTCGAGGGTAGCCATTGTTGGGTGTTTTGAAGGATTAGCCATTGCAGGCAAAAACACTTTGCAACTCAGAGGGCGAAAGGCAGAGGCGTGGCGTGGTGGATTACAGGACTTCGATCGTGGTCATTGTTGCAAGGGTCTCTGGCAAGCTCCCTTGCATGTCCGTGTAGTCAACATAGCTGCGAAGGGGGTGGGGGAGAGAGGGGGGGGGGAGGAGGGGGAAGAGAGACAGCACACATGGATCACGCAAGCATGAAGAGATACATGATACAGCACACATGGATCACGCAAGCATGAAGAGATACATGATACAGCACACATGGATCACGCAAGCATGAAGAGATACATGATACAGCACACATGGATCACGCAAGCATGAAGAGATACATGATACAGCACACATGGATCACGCAAGCATGAAGAGATACATGATACAGCACACATGGATCACGCAAGCATGAAGAGATACATGATACAGCACACATGGATCACGCAAGCATGAAGAGATACATGATACAGCACACATGGATCACGCAAGCATGAAGAGATACATGATACAGCACACATGGATCACGCAAGCATGAAGAGATACATGATACAGCACACATGGATCACGCAAGCATGAAGAGATACATGATACAGCACACATGGATCACGCAAGCATGAAGAGATACATGATACAGCACACATGGATCACGCAAGCATGAAGAGATACATGATACAGCACACATGGATCACGCAAGCATGAAGAGATACATGATACAGCACACATGGATCACGCAAGCATGAAGAGATACATGATACAGCACACATGGATCACGCAAGCATGAAGAGATACATGATACAGCACACATGGATCACGCAAGCATGAAGAGATACATGATACATCACACATGGATCACGCAAGCATGAAGAGATACATGATACAGCACACATGGATCACGCAAGCATGAAGAGATACATGATACAGCACACATGGATCACGCAAGCATGAAGAGATACATGATACAGCACACATGGATCACGCAAGCATGAAGAGATACATGATACAGCACACATGGATCACGCAAGCATGAAGAGATACATGATACAGCACACATGGATCACGCAAGCATGAAGAGATACATGATACAGCACACATGGATCACGCAAGCATGAAGAGATACATGATACAGCACACATGGATCACGCAAGCATGAAGAGATACATGATACAGCACACATGGATCACGCAAGCATGAAGAGATACATGATACAGCACACATGGATCACGCAAGCATGAAGAGATACATGATACAGCACACATGGATCACGCAAGCATGAAGAGATACATGATACAGCACACATGGATCACGCAAGCATGAAGAGATACATGATACAGCACACATGGATCACGCAAGCATGAAGAGATACATGATACAGCACACATGGATCACGCAAGCATGAAGAGATACATGATACAGCACACATGGATCACGCAAGCATGAAGAGATACATGATACAGCACACATAGATCACGCAAGCATGAAGAGATACATGATACAGCACACATGGATCACGCAAGCATGAAGAGATACATGATACAGCACACATGGATCACGCAAGCATGAAGAGATACATGATACAGCACACATGGATCACGCAAGCATGAAGAGATACATGATACATCACACATGGATCACGCAAGCATGAAGAGATACATGATACAGCACACATGGATCACGCAAGCATGAAGAGATACATGATACAGCACACATGGATCACGCAAGCATGAAGAGATACATGATACAGCACACATGGATCACGCAAGCATGAAGAGATACATGATACAGCACACATGGATCACGCAAGCATGAAGAGATACATGATACAGCACACATGGATCACGCAAGCATGAAGAGATACATGATACAGCACACATGGATCACGCAAGCATGAAGAGATACATGATACAGCACACATGGATCACGCAAGCATGAAGAGATACATGATACAGCACACATGGATCACGCAAGCATGAAGAGATACATGATACAGCACACATGGATCACGCAAGCATGAAGAGATACATGATACAGCACACATGGATCACGCAAGCATGAAGAGATACATGATACAGCACACATGGATCACGCAAGCATGAAGAGATACATGATACAGCACACATGGATCACGCAAGCATGAAGAGATACATGATACAGCACACATGGATCACGCAAGCATGAAGAGATACATGATACAGCACACATGGATCACGCAAGCATGAAGAGATACATGATACAGCACACATGGATCACGCAAGCATGAAGAGATACATGATACAGCACACATGGATCACGCAAGCATGAAGAGATACATGATACAGCACACATGGATCACGCAAGCATGAAGAGATACATGATACAGCACACATGGATCACGCAAGCATGAAGAGATACATGATACAGCACACATGGATCACGCAAGCATGAAGAGATACATGATACAGCACACATGGATCACGCAAGCATGAAGAGATACATGATACAGCACACATGGATCACGCAAGCATGAAGAGATACATGATACAGCACACATGGATCACGCAAGCATGAAGAGATACATGATACAGCACACATGGATCACGCAAGCATGAAGAGATACATGATACAGCACACATGGATCACGCAAGCATGAAGAGATACATGATACAGCACACATGGATCACGCAAGCATGAAGAGATACATGATACAGCACACATGGATCACGCAAGCATGAAGAGATACATGATACAGCACACATGGATCACGCAAGCATGAAGAGATACATGATACAGCACACATGGATCACGCAAGCATGAAGAGATACATGATACATCACACATGGATCACGCAAGCATGAAGAGATACATGATACAGCACACATGGATCACGCAAGCATGAAGAGATACATGATACAGCACACATGGATCACGCAAGCATGAAGAGATACATGATACAGCACACATGGATCACGCAAGCATGAAGAGATACATGATACAGCACACATGGATCACGCAAGCATGAAGAGATACATGATACAGCACACATGGATCACGCAAGCATGAAGAGATACATGATACAGCACACATGGATCACGCAAGCATGAAGAGATACATGATACAGCACACATGGATCACGCAAGCATGAAGAGATACATGATACAGCACACATGGATCACGCAAGCATGAAGAGATACATGATACAGCACACATGGATCACGCAAGCATGAAGAGATACATGATACAGCACACATGGATCACGCAAGCATGAAGAGATACATGATACAGCACACATGGATCACGCAAGCATGAAGAGATACATGATACAGCACACATGGATCACGCAAGCATGAAGAGATACATGATACAGCACACATGGATCACGCAAGCATGAAGAGATACATGATACAGCACACATGGATCACGCAAGCATGAAGAGATACATGATACAGCACACATGGATCACGCAAGCATGAAGAGATACATGATACAGCACACATGGATCACGCAAGCATGAAGAGATACATGATACAGCACACATGGATCACGCAAGCATGAAGAGATACATGATACAGCACACATGGATCACGCAAGCATGAAGAGATACATGATACAGCACACATGGATCACGCAAGCATGAAGAGATACATGATACAGCACACATGGATCACGCAAGCATGAAGAGATACATGATACAGCACACATGGATCACGCAAGCATGAAGAGATACATGATACAGCACACATGGATCACGCAAGCATGAAGAGATACATGATACAGCACACATGGATCACGCAAGCATGAAGAGATACATGATACAGCACACATGGATCACGCAAGCATGAAGAGATACATGATACAGCACACATGGATCACGCAAGCATGAAGAGATACATGATACAGCACACATGGATCACGCAAGCATGAAGAGATACATGATACAGCACACATGGATCACGCAAGCATGAAGAGATACATGATACAGCACACATGGATCACGCAAGCATGAAGAGATACATGATACAGCACACATGGATCACGCAAGCATGAAGAGATACATGATACAGCACACATGGATCACGCAAGCATGAAGAGATACATGATACAGCACACATGGATCACGCAAGCATGAAGAGATACATGATACAGCACACATGGATCACGCAAGCATGAAGAGATACATGATACAGCACACATGGATCACGCAAGCATGAAGAGATACATGATACAGCACACATGGATCACGCAAGCATGAAGAGATACATGATACAGCACACATGGATCACGCAAGCATGAAGAGATACATGATACAGCACACATGGATCACGCAAGCATGAAGAGATACATGATACAGCACACATGGATCACGCAAGCATGAAGAGATACATGATACAGCACACATGGATCACGCAAGCATGAAGAGATACATGATACAGGAACACATGAACACAGCTTCTGTGGGTTCATAAGGTGCCTCAAAAGGAACACAAAGAGGGAGAGTCGACTTAAAAAAAGGAACACACGTACATGTAGTCGAGCTTCTGCAGGTTACTGATTTTGTACGGCAGGGTCCCAGACAGCAGGACAGTTGTATGGCAATTAGCTCCTGAAGAGTTGGTTGTGACTTTTGAGGTGCCTCAGAGGGAACACACGTACATGTAGTCGAGCTTGTGCAGGTTACTGATGTTGTACGGCAGGGTACTGGAGAGCTGGTTGTGAGAAAGGTCCCTGATTGTGCAAGATGGATCTTGGAGGGAGACTGAGATGGTGTGTGTGTTGTGGTGTGGTGCGTGCAATATGCAGTGGTTTGTTGCTTACACTTGCAAGTGCGTGCATTGCATCTACACCAGAAAGTGCGGTACATCTACAAGCAAGTGCGTTGCATCTTCAACTGCGTTACATCTTCAACTGCGTTACATCTTCAACTGCGTTACGCCTTCAACTGCGTTACGTCTTTAACTGCGTTACACGCACAGGTACATCAGCTCTACGATGTTGGTGATGGAGTCTGGAATGGTGGGATCTGTCCAGTCCCAGACATGTTTGTCTGGGACATGACATGTTTGCCCAGATCTGTCCCAGTCGTTCAAGTTGTCCAAAAATACTGCTCTCCCAGTCTTCATGACTCACAGGTACATCAGCTCTACGATGTTGGTGATGGAGTCTGGAATGGTGCCGCCAATGCGATTGTTCTGCAGCAAGCTACATGGCGGAGAGAGAGAGGGAGGGAGAGAGAAAGGGAGAAAGGAGATTGTTCTGTGTTGAATAGACTTTGAGTCGACTAAGAAGTCAACTCGATGTTGGTGATGGAATTCGGAATGGTGCCGCCAATGTGATTGTTCTGCAACAAGCCCGAGGGCGGAGAGAGAGGGAGAGAGAGGGAGAGAGAAACAATCCAGGTCTGCAGTGACTGTCTCTATCAGAGCATTATTGCACTGCACTGCACTTCAGCATTACTGCAGCAATACTCTGATAGGGACAGTCAACTTGACTGACAGGGAAGCAAGCAGCACTGCAGGTTAGTAAACCAGCAAGTTCTCTGGCTGACTGCTACTTGATTGACTAACAGTGTGGTAATCCAGTGCAAGTTGCGAAACTTCTTGGATTGACTCAAAAAGTAAACCAGCAGGGTCTCAGACTGCTAATGCTATGAGGTGGTTTTTGAGGCGCCTCAAAAACCACCTGACTGCTAATGCTACTTGATTCACTGACAGTGTAGTAATCCAGTGCAAGTTGCCAATGTTGGAGGGTATGCTGCCAGAGAGTCTGTTGTATGAGAGGTCCCTGGTGAGGGGTGGAGTGAGGTGGGGAGGGATGGAGTGGGGGAGCAGGTGGGGTGGAGTGGGGACCAGGAGGACATTTCGGCTTTTGATAAGGAACGGGAGGAGTGGGAGCAAGAGAGGAGGATGACTGGATTTTGGAGGGCACGCTTGTTATGTGGGATTGGGGTCGACTCAAAAGTCGTAAAAGGCAGCCACGCACGTTGCAGCTGGGCATGCTACGGCACCTCTTATGGAAGCAGAGCACATCTGACTGGAAGCAGAGCACATCTGATTGGAAGCAGAGCACATCTGATTGAAGACCTGTTTGGTGCCGATGTGTCAATACGTGGCAGCAACAACACCTTTTGTGGAAGAAGAGTACTTTTGAAGAGGAAATGCTGAAGGGGCGGAACGGAAGTGCTGTGGCCTAGGTGGTGTGACTCACTGGAAAGGAGAATGTTGGGATGCGAAGAAGGACAGAGGGGTGTGAAGGAGGATAGAGGGGTGTGAAGGAGGACAGAGGGTTGTAAAGGAGGATAGAAGGGTGCTTACAGGTGTGTGAGCCCCGTTAGAGCCGTGATGGAGTCGGGAATGCTGCCTGCGAAACTGTTGTTTTGCAGGTACCTGAGAAAAAAAGAATATGGGGGTGTGATTTCTTAGTCGACTCAAGAGTCGAAGATGCTGCCTGCAAAACTGTTGTTTTTGCAGGTAAGGAGGACATGGGGGTGTGGGCGTGCAGGGCGTAAGCCACCTCACAATACCACAGGCTATCTCACATCACCATAGACTGCCTCAAGGTACCATACACTACCGCACAAGACCGCACTTTCAACCTCAAAACTTCAAGTCAAGTCCAGGTGCCTGTTTCTGATTTACATGCATACGCCGCAATTGGGGACGACGGCTTTCATTCAGAGCAGAGCACAGCTTGACACCCACAGGGCTTTCATTTCTTTGCAGGTTACCGCACATCACCATAGGCTATTGCACATTACCGTAGCCTACCGCATGGCACTCACAGGATTTTCATTCAGAGCAGAGCACAGCTCGTCACTCACAGGGCTTTCAATTCTTTGCAGTTGCCAATGCGCGATGGAAGTGAACCTGTTAAATTGTTTTCTGATGACCCCCTGCCATAGGCACACCCGTTACAAGCACATGTGCACAGAAATGCTTGTGCATGTGAGTATAGGTTATTCCTGTAGATGCATTGCTGTGCAGACTATCCATTCTATGAACGGACAATTTTGAGTCGGCACTTTGCAGGTGTTTACGCAACCATTGATTCAACCTAGTCTGGATTTAAGAATGGATTCGCACCATTGTAGCAGCTTGTAGAAGAGACTGAAGTCCGGAAGGGGGCCGCTGAGGTGGTTTTTGAGTAGACTCAACAAAATAATGTTTGGATATAGTTGGGTTGGATCGAAGGAAGGATTCGCACCATTGGAGCAGCTTGGAGAAGAGACTGAAGTCCGGAAGGGGGCCGCTGAGGTGATTGCCGTAGATGGAGCTGCAATTGGGGATCAGGGCGAGGGGAGGAGAGGACCAGGAGAGGGGAAGAGACTGAGGTCGGGAAGAGGGCCACTGAGCTGGTCGGCATAGATGCAGCTGCAATTGGGGATCAGGGCGAGGGGAGGAGAGGACCGGTAAAGGGGAGGGGAGGGTCAGCTGAGGGGATGAGAGGTGGGAAGGGGGCCATTGAGCTGGCTGGAATAGATGCAGCTGCAATGGGGGATCAGGGCGAGGGGAAGGGAGAGGTGGGGAGAGGGGAAGGGGGGATCGGGGAAGGATAGAGGTGAGATGACTTGTGTGACTTGGCTCATACGTCCCTCGTGCTGAAAATACAAGAGAACGCTTGACTTGACTTGAGTTGACTTGACTTGACTCACACGTCTCTCAGGTTGACCAGGTTGGTGAAGGTCTTTGGAAAGCTGCCTGTGAGGCTGTTGCGAGCCATGGAGCTGATTAGTGGAAGAGCGGGGGATGGGGAATAGAACATCAAGCAGGCGTGGGGAAGGAGTTGTGGAATTAGGCTGGATACTGAAGGACGTGTAGTAATTGGCTGTTGCGAACTTGGAGATGGGAAACGGGAATAGAGCCACTCGTCATCACACAGAGCCACCATTGGGAACCTTTCAGCACTCACAACCAGGTGAGTGCAGTGAGCTGGCCAATGGTGGATGGGATGGGGCCTGTGATGCCGTTCCTATCCAATGTCCTGCCACCACAATCGTCCAAAAAAGCAAGCAAACAAGAAGGGAATGCTCGATTGTGGATGGGCAATGCTCAATGGTGGATCGGCAACAGTCAAGCAATGGGCAATGTGCTGTGATTCGGCCATTGGTCAATGGTGGATGGGATGGAGCCGGCCGGTAATGCCATTACCGTTCAATCCGTTCCATGCCATTCCGTTCCATGCCATTCCGTTCCATGCCATTCCGTTCATACCCAATGACTTGCCACCCACCCACTGCCACCAACGAAGTAACCAATGAAGCAACCAACCGAGGCAAGACAGCACGCAGCAGCAGCAACAAACGGCAAGCAACAGGCAGAATTAATTGCAGCAGCAGCGACAGCAGCACTGACAGGTGCGAGAGAGCCACCAGGTCACCAATGGTGGCGGGCAGAGGCCCTCCCAGATTCAGCCCCGTGAGCTCTCTGCATTGCAGGCAGAGTTAGTGGGGGGGACGGGGTGGTAAAGATGGAAGTAAATGTGGATGCATACGTGCGTGCTGTGCTTGTTCTTGTGCATGCATGCACCCATGCAACAGGTAAATGGCCTGGGTCCAGAGCAGCACACAAGCGACCAAAACGTGCTGAGTCACAGAAACATGCCACGTCATCTCGTTCATGCCATGTCTCAACATGCCACGTCATCGTACCCAGTACAACATGCCATGTGACACGCAACACAGCATAGACCCGGCCACGGTCACGCAGTAACCCAAGTCGCCGCATCTCATGCCACGTCCGTTCAGAACATGCCACGTCAGCACCACGTACATCCACGTCACCATGCCCTTAGCATTGCATGATATGTTGTAGGCGATGCTGCAATCCCCGTTGGTGTCCCATTGGTCGAAAGTCACCCCCCATGACGTCTGCATGTCCCATAGTGCTTGCACTGAAGTCAGCATGTGACGTGGGGTACGGGGACGGAGGAGTGTGTGGGGGTGGGGGAAGGGTGGGGGGGAGGGGGATGAAGGAGAAAGGGAGATGGGGAGGATGGGGGGAATGGAGAAAGTGGGGGGGTTAGATCGGGAGGTCTTGACGGGAAGAAAGTGAGGAAAGATGTTGTACGGAAAGGTGGGAGAGGAGTAGGTCATACCGTGCCAGTGGCACACGGTGACTCATGACGAGCCACGTACTGACTTATGATGGCTCAGCATGGCTCAACATGGCTCTTGACGGCTTATGATGACACAAGATAGCTCAAGATGACAAATGATGACTCATGTTGACTCACAATGACTCATGATGACTCACGAAGACTCAAGATGACTCGAGATGACTCATGGTGACTCATGATGGCCCATGATGGCCCATGATGGCTCATGATGGCTCATGATGGCTCAACTGGCTCGTGATGACTTCAAATGGCTCATAATCAGGCCATATGATGACTCCGGCCAAAAATCATACAAGGTCCCCCTACTTGCCGCGTTGGCTGCACGACCCGCGGTCTCCCGTTACACTCACACTGGCTCTTGTCAATCGTCTGTCCCTGCGCCGGAGCGGTCAGCGCTCCCCATGACGTCAGCATACTGCACAGAAGAAGCATTGCAACCGTCGGCCATTCGCGATTATTCGCCATCGCGGAAGCGGCGAAAGATGGTGAGGCCGCGGCGGAGCCGCGACTCGAGGCGGCGTTCGGAAGGGTTTGAGTCTATCAGCGGCGCGGGTATAGCGACGCGATGTCTCTTGCTACGTGATTCGGTACGATGTAGTAGGTCTCGAGATAGGAAAACTTCAATAAATAACAGAATTCTTAGATATCAGGCTTGTAAGTCGACGTTAGTGCGCGAGCTACTAAAAGTTCGTAGTACTACCTACATGGTCCTATCGTCTCGCCAAATGCAACTTAGATAGTCCACGTGTCTCGTGCTCAGAGGGTACGCTGGAATGTGGCTCAGTGAGATGAATTTACGTTTTACCGCATTCAGATAACAATCTAGAACGGTTAGGTACGGTATACCACCAAGAGAACTTCGAACACAGCGAAGAGAATCCTCCCATGCGGTTCCTGGTTTCACCACATCCTCATCCGAGGATTCTTCCGCACCCTTCAAATTGTTTCTATTACACATGAAGTTTTTCCTCTCCCAGGGAATTCCCACTCTTCAGTGACGTATTTGGGGAGGAGCACTTTACAAACGAATTTCACGGGTTCTTGGATCAGGCACGGTGGTGCCCCATTTTGACGGTGGGATATGCATTAAAAGGAGGTGTAATTTAAGGGGTACAAGTAGGTGACGAGTAATCTTCTAAACGACTCCAGTATATGAAGGTTCTACTGACGAGAACTGAGGACGTGTCTCGGTTCGCCTCGGGTTGCCTCGATCAGACACGAACAATAACTTCCAGGAAGGTAAGGAGGCGATTTCATGCAATCAGGGGCAATCACTTGATCGCGATCAGCTTATCGCCCCATCTCGATCAACCGCGAAAACAGCCCAATCAAACACAATCATACACAATCATACACAATCACCGACGATCACTTGATTGCATTTGATTGGGGCTCTACGCGACGCTGGCGAACAGTTACACAGAAACACTCAAATTCGCATGTTTCTGGGTTGGCTCTTTTTGCGACATTACAGGGAAACAATTAAATTCGCATGTTCCATGCCGAGGGTTTCGCAGTCGCCAAAGTGGGCCCGAAAGTGGCAGGAAATGTTTGTACGCCTGCTATGTAACCTCGTGGAGTGTTCGAGGAAAATATTTTCTGATCGGGCGGCGCGAGCTGTCCAAACAAAGGCAACCCGATCAGATCAGCCCCGACCAGCTCACAGCCGACCAGAGGCGAACCGAGACGCGTCCGAAGGACATCCGAAAAATATTCCACACCCTTCAGATAGTTTCTAATAATATGGACAAGCACTTAAAGCGACGGGCAACTTTTGGCAGTGTTGGGTTCAGAAGTTTTTTTTTTGAACCAGGCTTGCCAGCGCGAAAGTGCTGGCTGGCGAAAACCAGGATTTCGTGCGGACACTTTCCATCCGCAGTAACAGTTCGCCAGGGTTCTGGGTTTTGGGTGGCAAATGTGCACCGTCGCTTTAACAAACGAATTTCAGGTTTGTGGATGAGGAACGGTGATGGCTGTAGCGAAATCATAGCCAGGCTCTATGATAACGGTGGGATATTATTCAAAAGGAGGTGTAATTTAACGGGTACAGTTATGTCACGGGAAATCTTCTAAGCGGACTCCGCTATACGGAGGTTCTACTTCCCACTCCCAGGGATTTCCACCCTTCCCACTCTGCACTTTACAAACGAATTTCGTATCAGCTGGTTGCAGAATGACTGTTTCGACCCGTCTGGGATTTGTCCCAATGCAATCCGTTGGAATCTAAGCCAAAAGCAAACCTTCAAAATATCTGAAATGAGATCAATCTAACCAGGAATTCTCAGGCAAAAATGACAAATGTTCGCGAATTGACAGGCCTGTTCGTAATGTATCCTGCGCAATGTTGTTGTTATTTAGTTATAATCTGTGGATATTTGTCCAGCTTGACAGAACCCGACAATGTCAGACTCGTACGGTAGACCAATAGCCTTCGTTGCCAGTCCGCTTCCCCTATCACGCTGGCATGTGAGGTTTGCCAGCGGGGCTTGTGTCGCGGACTTCGTTGACTGCAACACGCGCGAATGCTTGTATAAACCGTAATCCATTACTCTCTCAAATTCACTGATTCTGCTGCTGGACAAATACATTCTCTACAGGTTTAGAGAAAAATAGTACTTCACTAAGTATGCAATATTGTGTAGCCTATTGCGTGCATGCTAGCGGGGTAGAGTTTTATTCCTTCCCACCTAAAAGTGCATATCTGTGTACCTATTGATCACCTACTTAGTAGGACGGTTTTTACCACCCCTTGTTCATGTGTTCTACATTATTGGCAGCACATCACTTAAACCGAGAAAGGAAACACCAAAACACGCAGCACCATACAGAAACATACAACGTAAGATATCCCTAGCCATATCACACACTTTTAATTGAAACACCCCAATCCGGCCGACCATCAATATCACCATCGCCACTGTACCCATTATCCATACCGCCACTCCCCTCCCCTCCATAAACATCATCCGGGTCCGTGAGCCCGAAAAAAGTCCGTTCGAATGGCCTTGAGCGTGGCCAGCACCTCCCCCATGGGCGGGCGGTCGGTGAAGGGCATGGCGGTGCAGCGAATGGCGAGCTCAGCGAGGGAGAGGAAGGAGGACTCGGGCACGTCCAGGTGGGGGTCCTTGGGCTCCTCTGTCTTGCCCTCGTCGATTAAAGGTGCAGCCTGGTTTGCGGTGGGGAGAAAGGAGAAAACCGCACGGGAGAAACTGAGGAACAGCCGAAGGAGAGGAAGGACGACTCAGGGATGTCCAGGACGTCGAGGAACAAGAAGGAAATGGCAGGGAGGGACTCAGGGCAGCTGGTCTGTGAAGGGGATGGTGGTGAAGTGGACAGCAATCTCTGCACGAGGACGTGGGAACTCAAGAAACAATAGCAGAAGCAGCAGCAGCAGCAGCAGCAGCAGCAGCAGCAGCAGCAGCAGCAGCAGCTTCACTCACCCAGTCAGCGATGTGCTCGTGGTCCTCCCCATGCTCCGCCTGCACTTGAATGAATGGCGGCCGCCCCGTGAGCAGCTCGAGAAAGATGACGCCAAAGCTGCACAGATGCAAGGAGGGAGGGAGGGAAGGAGGGAGGGAATCGAGGATGCATTGAACGGAAGCATGGAGCACCCAGACTGGCGGCACGAGAAAACAACTGAGCCTCACCTGAACACGTCCGAAGCCTTGGTGGCAATTTGGGAGGTCAGATACACCGGATCCACGTATCCGGGGGTGCCGAACAGCCGGCCAGCGTTGACAGCGCTGGTTTCATTCCGCAGCAGCAGCCCGTAATTGGCGACCTTGGCCTGCCAGCTCTTATCGATGAGGATGTTGGCGGGCTTGAGGTCCCCATGCACCATGCCCACCGAGTGCAGGTACTTCACCCCGTGCGCCATGCCTAACAGGATATCGACCCGTTCCCACAGGGCAAAGGACGCCCGAAAGGTTTCTGCCGGGAGAGCCACAATCAGACAGGGGAGTAGAGGGCACATAGAAGGGCTTGACGTCCCCATGCATGCACCATGCCCACCGAGTGCAGATACTGCATGCAGTGCGTCATGCCCACCGAGTGCAGATACTGCATGCAGTGCGTCATGCCCATGAGGATACTGCATGCAGTGCGTCATGCCCATGAGAATACTGCAGGAATGGATAGCATGCGGTGATGGCTCACCTTGGTAGAGGTAGCGGCTGAGGTCCCCGTGGTGCACGTACTCGTACACTCCGATCTGCTCCTCCGCCTGCACCATCCTGCCGCCCTCCACCCGCGTGTCCGAGTCCACACAGTAGCCCAACAGGTGGGCGAGATTTGGGTGCCACTTGCTTGCGATTTGCTCCACCTGGTGATTCGGGAGGGTGATTGGATGGGGCAACCAGGGTACATGGAAGGGGGCGAACATAGGGGTGGGTGAGCCGATCTGCTCCTCCACCTGCACCATCCCGCCCTCCACTTGCTTGCTATCTGCTCCACCTGGTGTGGTTTGAGAGGGGGTAGTGGACAGGGCACGAGGAGGCAAACACACGGGTGAGTGAGCTGGTCTGCTCCCCCCCTTCACCATCCTGCCGCCCTCCACCCTTGTGTCCGAGTCCACGCAGTAGCCCAACAGGTGGGCGAGATTCGGGTGCCACTTGCTTGCGATCTGCTCCACCTGATGGGGGTTGAACGGGGGTAGTGGAAGGGGCAGAGAGGAAGGGGAAAGGAAGGGACGAGAGGAAGGGAACAACCATGTGTGGGTGAGTTGAGCAGCCTTCCACTCGCGCGTTTGAGTCCACGCAGTAGCCCAGCAGGTGGGCAAGATTCGGGTGCCACTTGCTCGCTATCTGCTCCAACTGATGTGGTGGGTGATTGGAAGAGAATGGGCAACAGATCCGGAACAGGTTCGGCAACAGGTTCGGTAACAAGTTCGGCAACAGGTTTGGCAACAGGTTCGGCAACAGGTTCGGAAGCAGGTTCGGAAGCAGGTTCGGAAGCAGGTTCGGCAACATGCACTCAGCTCTCTCAACGCTCACCTCCTTTTCGAAGTGCGTGGAGCGCTCCTTGTAGCGCTTCACAGCCCACGTGCTGGTGGGGTTGTACGGGCACGTGCCCTTGTACACGTCGCTGTGCTGCCCACAGCCTATGCGGTTCTCTTCGCTCCAGTTGCCCGTGGCTCGGCGGATCTCCACCAGAGAGTAGCGGCAGCACAGCGACGGGTTCAGACCCGCATCATCGAATTCCTCCTGGTCTGCAGTGGTGGTGGGGTGGAAGGAAGACGGGCGAATAAAACGGAGTGAGAGGAAGAGAGTGAGTGCTTCTCTGTGAGCAAGAGCAGGAGCAGGAGCAGGAGCAGCAGCAACCAAGCAGCAGTGGCCTCAGGAAAGCTTTTAAGTGGCGAACACACTTGGTTAGCGGCACGATTGCAGCAACGGGTGGAAGGAAGATAGGGTTGCTTCAGCACCAGCATGCGGCAGCAGTCTCTCACAGGTGCTGGTTTTTGAGAATTTTCAAAAACCAGCTCGATTGCAGCAACGGGTGGAAGGAAGAAAGGGTTGCTTCAGCACCAGCATGCGGCAGCAGCAGCCACTCACAGCTGCGAAAGAGCCACCAGATCACCGATGGTGGCGGTGTCTTGAGAGGGGCTTTAAGAGCATCAGGCAGCAAGCAGAATGCATCAGTCACTCACAGGTGTGAGAGAGCTGCTAGGTCACCGATGGTGGCGGTGTCTTGAGAGGGGCTTTAAGAGCATCAGGCAGCAAGCAGAATGCATCAGTCACTCACAGGTGTGAGAGAGCCGCTAGGTCACCGATGGTGGCGGGGAGAGGCCCTCCCAGATTCAGCCCCGAGATGTCTCTGCAGTGCAAGCCGTGTGGGGGAGTATCAATGGGGAGGGGAAGGGAGGAAAGGGAAAGGGAATTTGGCTTCCTGATTGGGACGCTGCGTGCATGGCAGTCGGGACGGCAGTCAGGATAGTAGTAAGTGTGGATGTTTGTATGCATGCGTGCATGCATACGTGCGTGCGTGTTGTGCTTGTGCATGCGTGCACGCACCCATGCAACCAGCAAATGGCCCCAGCAAAAAAGCCTGAGACTTGGAGAAACACACAATCCGACCAATACGTGCTTAGTCACAGCAGCATGCCATGTCACAACATGCCACGTCACCCACTGCAAGATGCCACAGACCACCCACGGCCATGCAGTAGGCAGATCGACTCATCTCATGCCACGTCGTCCAGAACACGCCACGTCATCACCACGTACATCCACGTCACCATGCCGTCAGCATTGCATGATATGTTGTAGGCGATGCTGCAGTCTCCGTTGGTGTCCCATTGGTCGAATGCCACCCCCCATGACGTCTGCATATCCCATAATGCTTGCACTGACGTCAGCATGTGATGTGCAGCAGGCGGGGATGGGGGAGGTTGGGGGGAGAGGGAGGGGAAAAGAAAGGGGGAAATGGAGGAGAGGCTTGGGAGGGGGGGGTGTAACAGGACGGGATTCGCCATGCGAGCATGCATGGGAATCTCCGAACGGGAGAGAACTTGTATTGCCTAGCTAGCTCCGAACAACACCATCTGCTAGCCTAGAGGACTCTCCCGTATCATTGTCAGGAGAAATCGTACAGCAGGGCATGGCATCGAGGCGCTATGCCAAGATGCCATGCTAGATGAAGTGGCGACGCGGTTTACCTCCCAAGTCGCCATCCCTTCTTCCTAGCATAAATAATCCTCTCTAGTCTTTCTAGTATCATCTCTTGCTAATTTCAGAATCTCCTTCTTGATCTCTCTTCTACGTCTCTTGGAGCTAGGCCTCCTCCCTCTCTAGCCTAGCTTCTCTCCCTTCCGTGACTGATGATTGCACATGGTGACTGATGATTGCACATGGTGACTGATGATTGCACATGGTGACTGATGATTGCACATGGTGAATCGTGATAGAACATGGTGAATCGTGATGACTTATGGTAACTCGTGCATCTCAAAAAGTTGACGACCGAAATCTAACCCAACATCGACTTCGAAGTCACCTTCCGGTTAGTTCAGGTAGTCACTCAAGGGTCGTAGGGTATGTCAGATTGGGGTCACTCAAATTTGACCCTCGACTAACCGGGCGACCAACTCGAAGGTGACTTTGAGGTCGTTACTGTTCATCCGAGGCGCGAATCAGTATTAAGTGACCCGTTACATGAACAATACACTGGATGTGCTACACCTTATCTGTTTTAGAATCCGTTAATTTATAATAAAGCTATTACAATGCATACAGCAGCAGTTCTAAAACCTTCAAACAAGGATTAAATAATGTTGTACTTCTTAATAATCCAGGGAATACTATACATCCAGGGGCAGCAACATGTGGATACATTCATGCAACAATTTGACTAGCAGCAATCACTATCTCTCCAGCCTATTGCTCATCAACACCCTAACAGCACAGGCATGTCATTCCTATATGACATGGGTGTGGTTTTGCAACCACATCTGCATTTCGAGTATCACCTGCCACATCTCAGAAAGAAGCACAAGTAGGAAATAATGAAGCAACGCAGATTGCTGCAAATAATGTAAAAAAATATGAAAGATGTGTAATTACGACTTTTGCAGTACGAACCGTTACTGCAAATGTCGCCAACGCAAAGAGCCAATGTCGATTAATCGCCTGCAACAACAGCACACACAAACGCGAGCCAAAACACAGTAAGAAAAAAATGACGCGAAACGATGATGTGGAAATGACCCTGTTCGGGCATCAGTATTTAAGTTAGAGCATGCAGTTGCTGCAGGACTGCTCCACGAGCCCCTGATTATCTCGGCATCAGCCCGCAAAAGCATGTTATCACGACTCAGAGGGAAATTACGAGAGACTCACCGTCTGCGCCTACATCGCAAAAACCCGCCGGTTTCTGCGCAAGCGCCACACCCACCCAGTTACGAGGGGCCCACCGTCTGCGCCTGTCTGCGTTAGGTGCAGCTCCACTCACCCAGTTGCGCTCGCCGACGGCACTCGCGCCGTGTGATGCTCGTCAGCCACTGTAATGAAAATAGCACACAAAAAAAGGAAATTCGTGATTACGGGTCGATCACACTAAGGCATTGGCTGAAAAAACAACTGTACGACGTCGCGAATGGTAACTTGTTAACGATGGTTTAGGCTATACACGAAAGGCAGCATCAGCGCGACGACACACTATCCATTCTCACTTCCTGTCTGACGGAAATAGCATCCTAACTGCTGAGTTTTCAGACAGGCAGACACAAAAGTGGAGCTGCTAAAAGCAATGAAAATCGATGTTGCACAGCAAGGGGTGTTCCTAATGGCAACAACAGAGTGTCGTGGTTTTGGACGATTCTAAACGGTTTTGCAACAGTAGTGGGGTTGGGCGAGATTTGCAGAAAGGGCTGGAGCGGGTAGTAGGGGACTAGGATTTCGTGGTTGTGTGCACTTCTGTCCACCTGAAGTCTCGAAGGCACGTGTGCAGATTTAGGCGCAGCTGGCAGATAACAACAACCTGAACCAGACAGGTGGCGCAAAAGTACTGCCTTATACTCAATGAGTTGGCAGTTTTCAGCCTAGTTCTACGCCACCTGTATAAGTCTCGCCAGTTTGTGGCTCCCTTGCGAGTAATATCCTCCTCTGATTTCGTGTGTTCATGTTTTGCGATGCTAGGGTGTAATGTGTAACTTTGTTTCGCTACCCGTTCGCTCTTGGTGACGCGACGGGTGCTACGCAAGTCGTGCGATCTGATTGCGTAACCCGATTCTACAAGAGGAATTTTGATTTACGTTATAGCTCTAAAGAGTACATAGAATTCAACTGCGTCTTTTGCATCCCATATATCTGGATAATAATTCATACATCCTAGTAAGTATCCTGGTTATTATTGTGATACACTGGTCATCATCTTCTTAATAGAAAACTTACCATTTTAAGAAAATAACGATCTCATTGTTAAAAGACATGGTAATCATTTACTTCATAGAAAACTTACCCTTTTACAAAGGTAATAGCAAAAAACAATATCCTCATAATAACATGTCTGAAAATACATTCAAGTGCGTTTTCAAAATATTCTGGTTGAAAAAAAAAAACCAATTGAGCCCTATTCGTATTTGTTTTTTATATCTAATATGTGTTACTGAATTGTTTACTGTTCGGGGTTATTTTATCTATTGGGGCATTTGTTTTCCGAAAGCACGCGATTCGTCAATGTCTCATTTCGATGCGACTCGGGCCATTTCAACGTACGATTGGCCAATGTCAGCTCTTGATGCGACCCGACCTATTTACGAAATTCTATTGGTCAAGTTTTTTTGCGATGGGGGTTCGGGCTCATCTCGTTGGTCAGGTTGGGGTCACTTTCGGGTCAAGGGCGTTTTTTCGCGCGAAATCGAAGACCCGATGGTCACTCCTGGGTCTCGGGAGGCTGCATTTGACCTGCCAGTCACTTTGGGGTGAGGTTCAGGTGACTTGTAAGTCACCCCGAGGATCCCAAATTCGGGTGGTGAGCCTTGGGTCATCCCAAATTTGGATCAGTGATGACTCATGGTGACCCTTGATGACTCGTGGTACAAACTCGTGACGACTCATGGTGAATCGTGACGACTCATGGTGAATCGTGTGTCAAACATTGTATATGTTACTGTTCTGTAGGCTATAGTGGGTTTAGCCTTTGGGGGTACAACATTCTAGGGTTTTCCTACTTGTACTCCCAATCTTGCTAGTCCAACCACTTCTCTCATTCTGACATGGTATTACGAGCCTAGGTTAGGAACCTAGGACCACCTACCTAAGGGCCCACCGTTCCGCTAGAAGCGCCCTCGAGCGCCCAATCGCCTTAGCGCCCTCGTGCGCATCTCTGTTAGTGCGCCCTCGTGCGCCTCTCTCTCTCCTGCTGCCCGTGCGCAGCTCGCTAGCCCCACGTGCGGCCTTTTTTTTTTAGCGCGCGTAGCCCGTTAGCCGCCCGCGCGCGGCCTGAGGCGCGCGTGCGTCGCCTGTTAGCCGCCCGCACGACCAGCGCCGCCCACGAGCAGCCCGCTAGCCGCCCGTCGACCGGCCCTGCTGGCCGTCCAGCACGCCGCAGCCCCGCCCGTAGGCTGCCGCGTCGCCTGTGTAGGCCGCCGCCCGCGCGCGACTGCAGCCCACGCACAGCCGCGGCCCGTACGCTACAGCCGCCCACGCGCAGGCCCACCGTCGCGCCGCGCCGCGTAGCCTAGTCCGAGCCGCGCCGCGCCGCGCCGCCCTGACCGAGCCGCGCCGCCCTGACCGAGCCGCGCCGCCCTACTGTGCACCACCTGCAGCACCTGCTGTTCCTGCTCTTATTGCTACTACTGCTACTGCTACCACTGCTACTGCTACTGCTACTGCTGCTACTGTCGCTATGGCTAGTCCTACAGTTCTCACCTTTTACTCTAAGGGCCGTCCGATTAAGTTTGACGTTTGGCTCGATGACCTGCACCTGTTCCTCCAGATCACTGCCAATGACGATGTTTCCCTTTTTGACCACACGTCCGGCGCCGCTCCCGCACCTGCTGCTACTGCTGACAGCACTGCTCGCTCACAGTGGCAGACCCGTGATGCTCATGCTCGCCTAGCCGTTCGCAGCCACCTACCGCTAGATGAGCGCGATCACTTTGGCCAGCATAAGACCGCTAAGGAGCTGTACGACGCTGTAGTTGCACGCTACTCCTCCCCTGCTACGGCTGCGATAGGCCGTCTCTCACTGCCCTATCTCTTCCCCGATCTGTCTGCTTTTGCCACTGTAGCTGACCTCATCACGCACCTCCGTACTAGTGATCTTCGCTACCGTGCCGCGCTTCCCCCCGATTTCCTAGCCAAGAACCCTCCCCCGATGTACCTCACACTCTATCACCTAGTCACCCGCCTCCTTGACTCCCTTCGCACTGTCAGGGACCACTTTCTCGCCCTCTCCCCTACCGACCTCACTGTCGACCAGCTCGAGAAGGAACTCCTAGCAGCTGAGAAGAGTATTGTAGCTGTAGGTGCCTCTCGTGGCGACCCTCGCGCCCCCTTCTTTGAGGGGTGCTCCCCCGTCCCCCTCCTCCCCTCCATAGCATCTGCTGCTGCTGTCGACTACCTCGGTGCTGAGGGGGTCGGGGCTGCGTCTGCTCCTAGTGGGAGGCGCAAGGGCGGCAGGGGCAAGGGGGGCAGGGGTGGCGGAGGTGGCGGCGGGGGCGGCGGTGGTGGAGGGGGCGGGGGTGGTGGGGGTGGTGGGAGTGGCGCTAGTGGTGGGGGGGTCAGTGGCGGAGCCGGGGGTGGTGGAGGCGGCGGTGGTGGGGGTGGCGGGGGTGGTGGTGGCAGTGGTGGCGGCAGTGGAGCTGGTGGTGGACGCGGTGGAGCGGTGCAGCGTGGGGGGTTCGGTGGTGGCCAGAGGCAGCAGCAGCAGCGTCCCAGCGAGACCCCGTCGCCCCAGCAGCTCCGTGAGTGGTACTCTCAGCGTGGGGGGTCTGGGGGTGGAGGTACCTGCCTGTACGTCATCCGCATAGGTGACCGCACTGGC